AACCATATGTTGTAGCCTTGCACATTGTTAAAATACTATTACTAACATTTGTGCGGCTGTTGGTTTGCAATATAACAAAACTTTTTTGTCAATATCAAGAGCATACATGTTGCTATATAGTGTATAGTAACGACGCATCGAACCGATAACGTGAAGTCGGTAGCGTCGTTTTCATTTCTTTCGTACAGCTGATGACTGTACTCAAATGATGATTGTGCAAACGAAAGTGTCGGAATTGTTTCCGCATTTTTAATTTGAGTTGAATTGGATATTTTACTTCGACTTTGATAAGATTTCTTCTAAATAGCTAAAATGGAGTTGGCGGGACAGGGTCAGGTGCAAAATTCTTCCAATACTAATGATGGTTCTGAAAACAAGGGAAGGTAAGATTTGCATTATTTAACTTTTTCGTTGTTGAAGTACATTTCTCTTTAAAACTACTACACGTACTATGACATATTATGTATATGCTTATTATTTTAGTTGTTTATTACTACGATATGCTAGTCAGAACTCTTTGGACGAGAGTTCACAAAAACATATACCCCGAGAAAGTGGAAAAGACAAGCCACCTTATAGAAATCATCATCACACAAATCGAGCTTTTGATGTTATTAATGAAATGAGAAAGTATGTACTTTTATAATACTTTTTATAATAAAAAAAATAAAGAACTACATATACATGTAAATATACTATGTCTTATGTGTCCAAAACAGAGAAAGTTATGTCAGAGCCTCTTTTTGGACCAATTAAATTTGTATTAGTATTGAAATGTAAATTAATTTAATCATTTACTAGGAAGAATTTACTGTGTGATGTAATATTGGTGGCTGATGGAGGAATGGAAGTACCTGCACATAAAATGGTCCTTGCTGCTTGTAGCCCTTATTTTTATGCTATGTTCACAAGTTTCGAGGAAAGAGATCAAGAAAGAATAACATTACAAGGAGTTGATTACTCTGCATTAGAATTATTGGTAGATTATGTATATTCTGCAGAAGTACATGTCACTGAAGATAATGTACAAGTGTTGTTGCCAGCTGCAAATCTTTTACAACTGACTGACGTACGTGATGCATGCTGTGATTTTTTACAAGCTCAGTTACATCCATCAAACTGTTTAGGAATTCGTGCGTTTGCTGATCTCCATGGATGTCTAGAGTTACTATCACATGCTGATAGTTACATTGAACAACACTTTTCGTAAGCAAACATAAAATAATTGTTATTAGTATATTCCTTGTTATAGGTAGTATATACTTTATTTTATATTTAGGGAAGTAGTGGATGGTGATGAATTTTTAACATTAGCACCGCAGCAGGTTGCTAAATTAATTTGTAGTGATCGTTTAATGGTACCTTCTGAGGAAAAAGTATTTGAATGTGTAATATCGTGGGTACATCATGATCTAGAAAAGAGACAAACTGATTTAGCCCAATTAATGGAACATGTGCGTTTACCCTTACTCTCACAGGAATATTTAGTTCAACGTGTAGACGAAGAACCACTTCTGAAAGCAAATTTACAATGTAAATAATAAAATGTATCTTCATATGTAACGTGTATACAACGGATGAATGTATAATCATTAAAAATTATATTTTACTTATTCTATTCAGGTAAGGATTTTTTGATTGAAGCTATGAAATATCATTTATTAAAAGGAGAACAAAAATCATTATTTAAAACACCTCGTACAAAACCTAGACAACCAAGAGGGTTACCTAAAGTGTTGTTAGTGGTTGGAGGACAAGCTCCGAAAGCAATTAGAAGTGTTGAATGTTACGATTTTAAGGAAGAAAAGTGGTATCAGGTTTCTGAATTGCCGACACGTCGGTGTAGAGCAGGTAATATATTTTAAACTCACTTGCTAGTATATTAACTGGAATATGTTGTATAATATTGTACAATTTGTAATATACAGGTTTATCCGTCCTGGGTGGTCGTGTGTATGCTGTTGGTGGATTCAATGGATCTCTTAGAGTACGAACAGTTGATATTTATGATGCAGCTACAGATCAGTGGTCACCTTGTCCAGAAATGGAAGCAAGAAGATCAACACTTGGTGTAGCAGTTCTTGGCAATTGCATTTATGCTGTACATATGTTTTTCTTTTTCTGTGCACATATAAAACTATATTATTATATAATATTTTATTCTTTTTTATATATGCTTCTGTCTGACTTTCACAAAAAATATATACAAATTAATTTTTTACAAAAAATACTTGAGAATATATATTTATATTTAAATAATATAAATATAATATAAATAGGTTGGTGGATTTGATGGTTCATCTGGTTTAAATTCCGCGGAAGTATACGATCCAAGGACACATGAATGGAGGCTAATTGCACCAATGTCAACTCGTAGAAGTAGTGTTGGTGTAGGTGTTGTTAAAGGATTACTGTATGCTGTAAGTAATTTGATATAAAAGTTGAAGCAGTTTCTAAAATTTTTAAATGTATATTTGACAGAGTTTTAAATTTTCAAATCTGAATAGTGAATTTCAAACTTTGTAATGTAAACAGTGAGTTTTTAAATTTAAAAGTGGTGTTTCTTTGTAATAGCATAATTATATAATTTCAGTTATATTATTATGTAATAATTTAAGAAGTGTTCATACTCGAAAATTCCTAGGAATATTAAATTTGTAAAAATTTTAACTATAGCAAAATTTAAAAGTCTTATTGAGAAATACTGTATTATTTCAGGTTGGTGGTTACGATGGAGCATCACGGCAATGTCTTTCCAGTGTCGAATGTTACAATCCAGAAAAAGATCAATGGAAGCCAGTACCTGATATGTCTGCACGTCGTAGTGGAGCTGGTGTTGGTGTTTTGGATGGAATTTTATATGCTGTAGGAGGTCATGATGGTCCTTTGGTTAGAAAGAGTGTTGAAGCTTTCAATCCGGATACTAATCAGTGGACTGCAGTTAGTGATATGGCCCTTTGTCGTAGAAATGCTGGTAATTAATCATGTTTTTATTTATTTAAAATTTTACTTTTAAGGTATAATAATACATACAAAGTATTGCAATGTATCAGCTTTCAGGTTTTATTAAATGATCTAATATTTAAAAATAAATAAATTTGTTATAAATAAAGTACTTTTATAAATATTAAATAATATACAAGGCATTATAAAAGTCTTTTTTATACAATTTATATAACTTGAATAACAAAATAATAATTATTTTTCTAATAGGTGTTGTTGCGCTGAATGGTCTCTTGTATGTGGTGGGAGGTGACGATGGCGTATCAAGTTTGGCGTCTGTGGAAGTGTATTCTCCAAGAACTGATACTTGGACGACCCTTCCAACATGTATGGGAATTGGTCGGAGCTACGCAGGTGTTGCAATAATTGATAAACCATTACCGTCTACAACATCAATGTGAGGATTGCAATCCGCTGGGCATGGAACGGAGCAGAACATAGACCCGGGTGCCGAAATATCGGATCAATCACGGGAAGCCGGGCCCAGCGGTGTGCAAGTCCAGAATTCAGATCAGAATGTACTTCAGCAGTATCGTGGTGCTGGTCACAACTGTCAAGGTACGCGTTGTGTATGCCAAAGATATGAGAATGGAGAATTGGCAGCTGTAGTCATGAATCAGAACAGAAGTAATCAAGAGAGAGATGATAATTACCAAAATACTAGTCGGAATTCACGGGGTTTCCAAAATCGACCAGGTGGCTCGGTACAGGGATATCCAAATCTGAATCCGAATTATCAGAATCCTGTTGATTTGGTTCATAATTATAATCGGAATCGGCAACCACAAGAATCGGAAGAAAATATTTATGAGCGTTTGGATAATGATGATGACGATGAAAACAATGAAAACAATGGTGAAGCCAGTCGCAATGAACCAATAGCTCAAAATAATCAGAATAATGTGGATGATCATATGTACGAGAGAATTGATGATCGATATTCTTGTAGTAGCAGAATGTACTACAAGACAAGAAACTCGAATCCGTATGATCAACCCAGACAAATTTATCTAGATTCACGGCTGTCCAATCAGTTTTGCCAAAGTCGTTTAGATAGATTAGGTCGCAATTGTTTTTCTACCGAAAATATTGCTCATGCGTCTACTGGACGTACAATTTATCCACTTGGTTACAACTGTATGTGTTCTTTCTGCAGGCACTTAGACCCAAGATATTTGTGTCATCATTGTCATAATATGCATAATAGATTACGCTATCATGATGGACTTGCAAGTAATTCTAGACACGTTATATGCCAATTACCGAGAAATTGTAGGTGTCCTTTTTGCCGTGGTGAATATTCTTACGTGAAACTGCCTGTTACATCATGTCGACCTCCTGAATTGTGGAGAATGGAATGTTACTGTAGAAATCCTAGTAATTGTTCTTGTAGATCTAAAATTCTATCTAACTGTAATTCTACTACACAATTTGGAAAATATCTTGATTGGATAAACAGAGCTGGTCCTTCGGTTAATAATCCTTTGTACGCTACAATTCATATTGGTAGACCTTGTGTTTCTGCCGTTGGAAATTTAGCTAGTGGCAGTGGCGGAGAGCCTGTTGCTTCAACATCGGGTGCATCGGGTTCTGCAGCTGCAACCAACGAACCCAGTACATCTTCAAATGTTAGATCGATATTTTCTTCGCATAATTCTTCCACTTCACGCGCTTCTGTTTGTTCTGCTAATCGTTCTACAGAACGTCAGCATACCTGTGATGATTCCTGCATCAGAAATCAAAGTGGAAGTATCACTGGCATTTGTCAGTTTTTCAGTAGATGTGAACGGGCAGAATGTAATCATAACAGATTGTCCGTTCATTGGTGGTACGTTAACAAGTGGCTGCTACTTTGGAATCCTCACATTTTCGATAGGAACATGGACGCTGTTCCCGTGATGGAGGAAGAATCCCGGAATCAACATGATAGCGATAGTGATGATGCTTAATGATAATTATTCCTTAATTTTCAGATCTAGTGATTTATTTGGCATTATCAGATATTGTTTTATCATGACTGTTCAGATACCATTCATATTTCCGATCATAATAGTTAAGCAAATAAGATAATATTGAATATCCGTGTGCCCCTCTATTTTTAACGAGAGCATAGTAATAAAGTTATAACTTGTGATACCTGAGAAAATGATTATACATTTCCCCATACGAGATAGCAAGTAAGAGGAAAGTAGTGTCAATAATAACGCTTTGAACTGTTTTTAACTACCAACATCCAGCTTGTTAAAAATATTGTAATAATAATTAGAATGATAATTCTTGTTGAGTTGTGTTATTTCAGATGAAAATCTTCGTTCGAAAATAATTATAAATAATTAAGAAGAATTCGCACATGTATTGACAATAACAATGCATTATATGTGCTCCGATATTCTGAAATATTTATATCTATAAATACAAGAAATATAATTTTCATTTATATATGTATAAATAAGTATAAAGTCGATTAAGTATAAAAATAATCAAAGATTAGTTCTGCCACTATATTATTAAGAATTTATAGAAGCTGTTTAAATTTGATTGACTTTATACTCATTTACAGCTGATTTTAATTATTTTCATATGCGGTGAAAGAAAATTGCCAATTTTATCATGTTAATCCTCTGTATAGAGAACTATGTATATTATAGACTAATATTTGGACATGTGTGTTTTACTGTATAATGATGTAAAATGTATAGAAATTGTAACTTTTATAATTCGTCGTTAATCCTTTTGATTCGGCATTGTTTCTGGATCAAAAGGGTGGAGGAAATGACGAGAGAGTGCTTCTGGCATATTTTTATAAGTTTAGTAATAAAGATGTCGCAATAAATCAAGACATAAATACCCTTTTTTGAGAAGTTGGTTATGCAGTGTGTTAAAAAATATTGGTTATTTTAAGAAATATTTCGAATTTGTTAATTGCTCTTTACACACGATGAAATATGTCGAATGTAAATTTTTATTTTAACTGGAGAACTGTTATGAATACAAATCTATAGTAACTGTGAGAAAATGGAGTATCGTTTAAGGGTAACTATGTTAAACATTATAGTCGAAGTAAGATCAACGTACGGCTGTTCAAGGTCATCGAAACGTCATCCGTATCAAATTTTTTTACTGTCACTTATATCATGACGCACAGTACTAGCAAACTAACAAATAGTTACACATATTTTGTCTTTAGTATAAGATAGTAAGGAATTTATCTTGAGTGACCAGTTGGATGGGATTCATATATAATCATTGCACCTCATTCTTACGTGCAATTTATTACCTGAAAAACAAAACAAAATGTTAATTTACTATACTTAAATACCCTATGTGCATATTATTATATAGTCAGTATTAAATTGTCCTTATAAAGTTTAGCTCATAATTTCAAAATGTATATACTTTATTTTAATTGGTTATTTAAGGAGATTTAAAACTTAATACAAATAAAATTAACTGCACTTTCTTCAACATGCAATATAATTTTCGTACTTATAAGGACAGATTTAAACATATCTTTAGATACTTATTACTTAAGCATTAATTTGTATGAAAGATTCATAACGAAATATATTTTGAGCCTAATATACTAAATTTTAAAACCCCCTGTTGGGTAACTCTTTGGATAATAATATAATGAACCTTCGTGAATTTGCCAAATGTGTATTTAGTTTTTCTATTTAGTAGTTCATACCACATGTGCTCTATGACGAACGTTTAATTAAATAAATAATTTTATTGTAGAGAATCTTACAGAAACAGTTTTTCCTTAGCGCCAAATATTAACATTTAAATTAGATAGTTTAGTTTCATTCAAGCTGTAATCATTTAATGTACCGTAACAATTTTGAGTATTTTATAATACTTAAGCATTTATAACCATTATTTATTTGCGAATTACATTTTGAGAAAACTGTTTTTACATGTTCCTTTATCGCAATAGTAATATAAAATATCATATCTTCGAATTACTTTATAAAGCAATAGCTGATTATAATATGACATTTTACATTTATGTAAATACATGTAATATGTAATAAAAAAGATGCGATTTTTTAATTCACTAATTCAAAACGAAGATAAAAAGTTTAAATTAAATACTATTCGAATTTGACAATATTTTATAATTAATCTACTTTTTGCATATTGTTTATCTATTTTATATCACAATTATTTCCTTTGTTATGTGTTCATTTAAAAACATTAAATTTATAAATATAATAGGAATAAACTTTTTATAATAAAAGTGTGTACTTATTATATTTGGTTATTACAGTATAAATGCGCATATCTTTCCGTAAAAAGAAACCTAATTTTCTGTTTATTTAAACATAAGCGCTTGTTAATCCATTGAACATAGATACTCAAATTTACTAATAGTAGTCTCTATGTCAATTTCAGATTACAATACAATTATTAAAATACAATATAATTAACGTAAGGAACGATTTTGCAAGAGTAAATGCCTGTACTATTGATACACATATATTGACTTTGAGAAAAGTTGGTCACTCCCCCATGAACGAAGGCCAACAGCTATCACTTTGGTGGTATAATAGCCCTAATCTCGGTGTACTGCTGCTGTGTAGACATTTATGTCGTTAAATCTTTTTCTGTCTTTCTATTCAGTTTCTGAGTAATCCTTTGATCTTTTATAATAATGTTATTCATTCTTTTGTAATACATTTTTCAGGATATTATTTGTAAAGTCTTGTATTCGATAAATTTTTAAAAGATTCAATTTGAAATAATGGGACATACCTATTATAACAGACAAATTTTCATATATTATAGACAGAATGTAATTATGTAAATAATAGAATTAATTTATAGTTAAATCAGTATTATATGTTATTATTAAAATAAAAAGATGTTACTTAAAATGCTTGTTGTAGAAGTGTTTATTACCTAATGTATTGTACATACTTCGTAAGTACTTTATGCTGTATGAATAAATTTAAAGAAGAGAAGTGTTGAAAAGACATTGCTGGCAGAATGATTTTAAAAATGTTATGTTACATTGAAAAAATGGAACATGGCAATTACTGATTACATATAAAAAATATATTTATTATGTAGTAATTGTAATATATAACTGAAAATTTGTAATATTTAGGATTTGTGAAACAAAAAATAAAATAACTCATTATTTTTTGTTTTCTAGTAAATTTATTAGAACCTTTTTTTACTACATCGTTTTGTCTGTTTTTTATTTGGAGAAAGAGACACCATGGGTATTTTTGTTTCTTCTGTAATTCATATGTTATGAATGGTTTTCTGAATTGCAAAATTTCCTTATTTAAAATGATTTCATGTCGTTCGAAAGAAAAAAAAATTATTTCTATAAAAGGAGCACACAAAAAAACACTCTGAAGTAATAATTTTATTAAATATAGATTAATAACAATGATGTTATTATTTTTCTGTATCCGTAAATATTGATTTGAGAGTTTATATAAAGATTTATACATTCAGTCATGTTTCTTTTATTAATACATTCGTGACCGGAAAATTTGTCGCTTTTATAGTATTTGTTGCCAGTGAAAATGAAAAAATTTTGAAGCTAATTGCCGCAAATTTCTAACGTTAAAACAGGGACAAAAATTAAGAAATTTTTTAAAAATATTGGTCATGTAACGATCTGTTGTTTGAAATGAAGAAATCCTAAATGGAAAAGAGCAGAACAGTAAAATATTTTGAAAGTTATATTTGAAAATACATGAATTCACACCAGTGGTCGCGGTTGTGTTAACAAATACACTGCCGGTCAAAAGTTTGGGACCACTTAATATGTAACGCCACAAATGAAAAATTATATATCTTATAAATATGTAAAATAAAATAACAAAAAGTATATATTTTTACATTTGATTAATACACATATGTCCGTGTTCCTTTATACACAAAAATTCCCCAAAGAAGTTGTTTAGAGAACACGGAAGTTTTTCTTTTAACCGATGTATTGGTCTGAAACTTTTGACCGACAGTGTATATTCAATTTTTATATGCATCGAATATGTAATCGAAAACTTTTCAGTATTAGTGCACATGATATCTTGGTGCTTCTCATTAATAATCTATTTACCATTTTCTTGGTAAAAGAGATTCGCGGGGCATCGAACTGAATATCATTCGAGGTGTGACCATCGTGACATTTCCGACATAAGACTTATCGTGAACTTGCACGTAAACTATTGTAATCGAAATTTATATGCGCTAGTCGATCGGATTGCCTCAGTATTGCACGGGTTCACGATGGTCACCTTTAGGAGGATCGTCCTTTTACGTGTCGGCAACGAGCATCAGCTGCAAAAACTACGAATATTTTGCGTTGTCACACGACCAATGTAAATGTTTGACCGACGATAAATGCTATTGTATTTCTACCGCTGCGGAGTACCAGTGCACATTTACAGCGACTTATCTTGACACCGCGGATATACAAGTATCGCGGGCGTGGTCCTCATGGTCAGATATTCTCCGACGCAACTATACTTTACTCAAATAATGGCTTAACCCTTTTTCCTCCCGGCAATCAATGTTTGTTTTAGTAGCTATTGTACTTATGCATTTCTACTGTAGCTCTTTAATGGAAGTTCAAAGGATATTCTCTTGTTTCGCAAAACGAATAATAATTAATACAAGTGTACAGTGAGTCTTTTAATATTCTTAGAAGAGTTTTAGTAATTTGAGAGAAAAAAATATTATGTGAGTTGATTTTATATTAACTAATATCTGATATATAATTACCGTCATAAATATTTTAATTTTGAGTATAATTACAATATTTAATTTTGAGGTATAATATAAAGTAACACTAGTCAAATTTTTGCTAAAACTATTTATTACATCTTCCAACCTTTCAATGAATAACGAATTAGATCCAGTTTCGAAAAATTTTTTTAATTATTTTGTATTTTGTATTGTTTTTTTTACCAACGTAAATAATAAACATAAATACAAAAAAAATGTGTAGTTATTACCTGTAAATTTTATGTAATAATATCATAGATAGTACAGTTAGATTTTTTACCCTTGTGCAAATGCTTAGTGTATTATAAGAGGAGTCACTTAAGCACAAGTATAAATATAATAATAAATTTCATAGAAATTAATAGTTTTTAATATCATTATTAGTTCTATTTAATTTATTATTGATTGTCAGTATGTTAATTAGCTTATTTTATTCACGTCTACCTTTTTCTGAATTTTATTTTGTATTCTTAAATTTTTCATTCATAAACTTTTTATTCTACATTATTCTGTATAGAAAGTAATTCTTCTCATGCTATTAAATTTTTAATCAGTTCCAAATGTATTTAAAAATCTGTTTTTGTATACCTATTTCAAAATTGTTTCTCCTGTGTATTAAATGTTCTTTTATTTCAATCATAGATAATTTTCATTTTGGTAGAATTCGACACTATGATGAAGAAAAGAATTAAATATGATGATTGTGTTAAAAGACAAACGTTTCCAGATCAACCATTTTAAAAATATTATTTATTACGAATTTGTACATACATCGTAAAATAACGTACGCATGCAGGCATATTTCGGTGACATGAAATTACAGTAAGGAGAAAGGCAAGGTTCTCCTTTCTTCCAATATCAGTAATGTTCACGTTCTCTTGAGTAATCAAAATTTTATATTCATATCTGCGGGCAATTTTGTAAAGTGCGCCGCATGCAGAAATATTGATATTCGGTGAATTTATTTGGGCATAATTTTTCGAACGCGATCATATCAGATACGACTGAACACGGACGTTTGATAGTTACTAAAAAAGAAACAGAACTGTCTTGCGTCAGAATCGTTAATTCATTATGATCGATGGCTGGAATGATACTTGAAGTATGTGGGCGTTGGTCCTGTACTTGTCACCTTCAAATTCCAATCGATGTGAAATAAATGAAAAAATCGAACGATTTATTATGAATATATAAAAATAAAAGAGACAGTAGCTGTAGGGTTCATTA